GCTAGAGAAGTCTATCCTGATTCTCGCTAAGGTGGGAGTCTAGTCTTGAAAAGTCCTTAAAAGAACCCAGACTATATTAGCATCTTGTCACTGGGACAGCCTTTATACTGATTGATTTTGGTAAATCATTCCACTTGAGAACATTGAACTGAGTTCATTGGTCCACTCTAAAACTGAAGGCTCTCAGTCAGTTAGGAATCTTTCTATTCAAAAAAATATTTTTTCCCAACTACATGTAAAATAATTTTAACATTCTTTTTTTCTTCAAATTTTGGGTTCCAAATTCTCTCCCTCCCTTCCCTATCCCCCCTTTCATTGAGAAGGCAAGCAATTTGACATAGATTATACATGTGTAGTCATACAAAACACATTTCCATGTCAGTCACATGTGAAAGAAAACACAGACCAAGAAATAAAGTAAAGAAAAAGTATCTTTGATCTGCATTCAGGCTCCACTAATTCTTTCTCTGGAGATGGGCAGCACCTTTCATCATTAGGAATCTTTCTAATGTCAAGGCAAGATCCAGGGTGCTCCACCCAGATTACTAAATAATTTCTAAACTTTCTGCCTCTCCTACTCCCTCAAACAATGGAAAAAACAAGAATGCACCCAGCACAGACAGTGTTTCCCATTATCTTTGTGTGAGATAATTTACTCCATTCTACCTCTCCCTTTTTCCTTCTCCCAATATAATCCTCTCTCACCCCTTAATTTTATCCTCCAGATATCACCCCTTCATCTTCAGCTTACCCTGTACCCTCTATCTATCTATCCATAATTTTTTTCCCTCCAGCTATCCTAATACTGACAAAAGTCTCATGAGTTACAAATATCATCTTTCCATGCAGGAATGTAAACAGTTCAACCTTAATAAATCCTTTATGATTTCTCTTTCCTATTTACCTCTTCATGCTTCTCTTGAGTCTTGTATTTGAAAGTTGAATTTTCTATTCAGCTCTGGTCTTTTCATCAAGAATGCTTGAAAGTCTTCTATTTCACTGACTGTCCATTTCTTCCTACTCAATTTTGCTGGGTAGTTGATTCTTGGCTCTAATCCTATCTCCTTGAACATCCAGAATATTATATTCTAAGCCCTCCAGTCCCTTAATGTTGAAGCTGCTAAATCTCATGTTATCCTGATTGTGTTTCCACAATACTTATATTGTTTCTTTCTGGCTGCTTGCAATATTTTCTTCTTGAACTGGGAACTCTGGAATTTGGCTACAATATTCCTAAGAGTTTTCCTTTGGGGATTTCTTTCAGAAGGTGATTGGTGGATTCTTTCAATTTCTATTTTACCCTCTGGTTCGAGAATATCAGGGCAGTTTTCCTTGAAAATTTCTTGAAAGATGATGTCTAGGCTCTTTTTTTTTGATCATGGCTTTCAGGTAGTCCAATAATTTTAAAATTTTCTCTCCTGGATCTATTTTGCAGGTCAGTTGTTTTTCCGATGAGATATTTCACATTATCTTCTATTTTTTTCATTCTTTTGGTTTTGTTTTATAATTTCTTGATTTCTCATAGAATTATTAGCTTCCATTTGCTCCATTCTAAATTTTAAGGAACTATTTTCTTTAGTGAGCTTTTGGACTTCCTTTTCCATTTGAACTTCCATTTGAAGTTCACACTTTCCATTTGAACTTCCTTTTCAAATTCTGCATTTTTCCTCCTCATTGGCTTTTTGGACCTCTTTTGCCATTTGGGTTAGGCTATTTTTAAGGTGTTATTTTCTTCAGTATTTTTTTTGGGGGTCTCCTTTAGCAAGCTGTTGACTTGTTTTTCATGATTTTCTTACATCACTCTCATTTCTCTTCCCAATTTTTCCTCTATTTCTCTTATTTGCTTTGCAAAATCCTTTTTGAGCTCTTCCATGGCCTGGGACTGATTCATATTTTTCTTGGAGGCTTTGGATGTAGGACCTTTGACTTTGTTGTCTTCTTCTGGTTGTATGTTTTGATCTTCTTTGTCACCAAGGAAAGATTCTATGGTCTGACTTTTTTTTTGTGCAGTTTGCTCATGTTCCCAGCTAATTTCTTGAGTTTTAAACTCTTTGTTAAGGTAGGGGTCTGCTTCCAGTGTGGAGAATGTACTGTCCCAAGCTTTGGGGGTTTTGAGCAACTGTTTTCAGAGACACTTCTAAGGACCTACAAATTTTCAATTCTTCCTAGGTGGTATGATCAAGGGTGAGGTGTTTACTCTTTTCCTGGCCTGTGCTCTGGTGTATGAGTGGTCTGTCAGCACTCTTTTCTGCCTTGGAACTTTGAGGAGGATTCTCTCTGTACTACCACTACAAGCTCCACCATGCCAGCACTCCTCCTTGCCCCAGGACCGCCACTCAGAACTATGACCCAGATCCAAGCATGGGCAAAGCAAGAGATTCCTGCCTCAGCATCAGCAAAGAAATCCCTGTGACCCCTCTCTGATCAGCCACTCAATTCCCCCTCAGTCTGTGGGCTGAGAGCTCTGGAAGCAGCCATTGCATTGGGGCTGTGCTGGGACTGCGGCTGGAGCCAAACTTCTCTCTCACTGTGGTCACAGATCTTTCCTACTGACCTTCTAAGTTGTCTTTGGCATCTGTGGGTTGAGAAGTCTGGAAAGCACCTCAGCTGTCCTGGATTCAGTCCCTTGAGGCCTGCTCCAGGTTCACTGAGGCCTGATCTTTGCATTTGTGGCCCAGGCTGAAGTGTACTCCTCTCTCAGCCCAGTGCAATAGACCTTTCCAATCAACCATTCAGGGTGTCTTGGGCTGAAAATTTGTTTCACTCTGTCTTTTTGTGGGTTTTGCTGCTCTAGAATTTGTTTAGAGCCATTTTTTACAGGTATTTGGAGGGGTTTAGGGGAGAGCTCAAGTATGTCACTGTTTTTACTCTGCCATCTTGGCTCTGCTGTTTCCTATTATCTTAAAAATCTGGAATAATTCAACCTAATACAAAGGTCACCCATGGAGGTCATAAAATATATACCTTTCCCTACACTGGGTAGGTTTGTTAAGGATGGACTGGAAATATGGGGAGAACCTGGAAGGCAGGAAAAAATTTTAAGAAGCTGTTGTATCAGAATTTGATGAGGGTCTAGCTTTGGGAATTGAGAGGAAAGACGTTACACCCTACAACAGTGGGAAGGCAAGGATTGGGGCACTCATGTGATGACAGCTGGGCTTTTAGCAGATGACAGTGGTGATAGCAACAATACCAATGTAGACAATGCTTCAAAATTTGCAAAGCACTTCCTCTGTCACTCTGTCTTCATTGTTGGTTCTGCAGAACTGGTATCATCCCTCATCATCTTATAAATGACATACTCACTTGTTCCTTCAGATAGAGCTCACACAGCAGGGTCTCTAGCCTTCTTGCTATTATCGCCACCCTCCTCGCTGGAATATTTCAGTTTGTCAATGTCATTTCAAAAATGCATTTGATTAGAACTCTATGTAATACTCTGGAAGAAATTAAGACCATGGCAGATTAAGGCAAGACTGTCACTTCCCTCTTTCTAGGAACCATGCTGTTATTAATGAGGTTTCAAACAGCATTAATATTTTTGCTAGCCACTTTACTCACTAATGTTGAATTTGCAGTTCACTAAAATCCTGCAGGTCTTATTCTGACATGGCTAGAATTGATATCTAGCCGTATCTCAATAATCCTGTACTTGTCCAAATTATTTCTTAAACCCAAGAATAAGACTTTAAATTTATCCATTTTCAGTTTTATGTTGTTAGTTTTAGCCAATTGTTTTAACCTGCTTGTCTTTTTTTTTTGGAGCTATATTTTATCCCCCAAAATATTAGTTTTCCTTCCCAGTTTCATTTCATAAATATGGTAAGCCTATCCAAGGAGCTTGACTTTAATTCTTGGAAAAATTTTAGAACTAATCATTGAAGACATAGTTAGTAAATATCTAGAAAAGAAAGTCTATTATTTGAAGTCTTCTTTGCCTCTTCAACCCCTCTCCCCATTTCCTCTTTGACTTATTCAGCAAGTGGAGAGTATTAGTTAGTGATTGAATAAGAGCATGCAACTGAGTTATATAGCACTTACTATATGCCAGGCTAAGCACTTCAGAAATATTATCTCTTTTAACCCAAGGAAGTAGATGCAAATATTATAATTTTAGAGTTGATGAACTGAGGCAAACAGAGGTTAAGCGACTTTGCCAGGATCAGGGAGTCAGTAAGTATTTGAGGCAGGATTTGAACTAAGATCTTCCTGTCTCCAAGTCCAGTGCACTATTCACTACACTCCCTAGCTGCCTCCATATCTGAGAGCTTTAGAGTGAGCACAGGATTATAGACTGGAGCAATGAGGTCTGTCCAGAGTGACCAGGTAGACTAGTTAAAAAAAACTGTGTCTCAGGAAGGGAATACAGGAATTTCAAATAAATTCAATTTATCAAATATTTTAAAAGTATTTACCAGGCACTATACTTGGTGCTAGGGAAAACAGAGACAAAGAAGAAACAGTCTTTGCCCTTGAGGAACTTATATTCTGTTGGGAGACAGAAATTAGAAAATGCAAAATAATGTGAGGAGGAAAAGGGTACTAACAATTTTAAGAGGTTAGTACCAGAGAGAGGAATTTTGGAGTTCATGATTATGGAGATTATGAAATCTAAGATGTGATACTCTTTTGTATATGTCTGAAGTGGAATGAAGAAATAGATCATAGCAATTAAGGAGGCCAGAATATTAGAGAGGAAATCACCCTATATTGAAATGTTCGAATATGGGGTCAGGAGTTGGTGGAGAGGAAGTCTGTGAACTGGGTAGGTACTGAACTCCTTAAAGTAAGAGGAAGGAGACCAAAGTAGAGTCTGGTAGAAGATTTTGGCAAGGATATGGCTTGGGTGGTATGAAGAGATAGATGGAGTGAACTTCCTAAGGGGAGGGTTTGCTAAGTGGTAATGGCAAAGGAAGTATCTGGAAGTGACAGATAAGAGAAAGTATGTCGTTTTCTCTCCCCGGCCCAGGGAGTCTAAGTGTTTGGTGATGGTGGTGGGGGTTCAGGGGGAGGTGGGGAAGTGTGATTCAAGCTGGAAAGATTAGACCCTTTCCCCAGATGGAGAAGAGGAAATATGTAGACACCTGGACACCTGGAATGACTGATGAATTCATGAGCACACCCCCAAGTTTGTCTTTATCTGACCTAATTGTAAAGTGCTTAGCATAGTGCCTGGCACAAGGTAGGCACTATAGAAATGTTAGCTATTATTATTATTTTTATTATTAATTGGAATACTTAAAGGTACATGACATCTGTTTATCCCAGACTGTAGCATTTTCAATTGGCTCCATATTCCTTTATCTACTTTTTAATAAAATCTCACAGATCCTGACTCCCCTGGAATGCTCTGAATCCATCTGTACTCTGGTTAGAGTCATTTGCTTGGGTTTTTGATCTCCTCTCTCAGAACTGTGTCTAGCCTGGGACTCATTGGTCGCACATATCTTCTTGTATCCTTTTGGTGTGAGTAAGTAATCTACTCATGGTTTATATTTAGTGCTATCAATAAAACTTATAGGTAGGTCAGAGGTGATTATATTTTATGTTTGATTATATATCAGAACTGGACCAATGAAGGAAACATAAGGGAAAGCGTCCTTTACTAGAAAGGATGGCCAGGTGTACCGTTCTTCCAGGAATATCCAGGTTTCTCTATGCCCCAGAAGATGGAAGGAGTATGAAATGAAGAGACCTAGAAGGTAACCCTGTAAATGTAGCAAACACTCAGTTAAGAGTCTTGGAGTCCTAAGAAGTGACATCTGTCTATTGCTTTTGGTACCTTGGGACTTGAAGATCTGCTCAGGACCTTTGATAGAGTGAGTCCTGTTTTTTGCATTTCCTCAGGTTCCCTGAAACTCAGAGCCAGGCATTGGTAGACGGTGATGGGGAAGGCTCTCAGTCTGGAAAATAGAAAATGTTGGTAAGCGTAACCTCTGTGAAGTCTGGATTATTTTAATTAATTAATGAGAATGCATTTTATTAATTGTTATTAGTTATTAATAAATGTAGTTAGATACATTTAAAAGAACTTTACCCTTATATGTGTGGTAGAGGAACAGGTTTCACGTTCACTTAATGCATATCTATGGTGCTACATGTGGTAATATTGTTTGGTGACAGGTGGACAATGGAAAGCTCCTTCTAGATCCTCGGGCAGCCATTTCATCATTTCCCACCTGGCAACACTCCTTTGGACATCATCATGCCTCTGCACTATCTACCCTCTTAGCCCCACCCCCATTTTCTTTTTAGGTGTTGTCTTCCCCATTAGATTATGAGCTCCTACAGGATGCGAACTGTCTTTTACTTTTCTTTGTGTCTTCAGTGCTTAGTATAGTGCCTGGCACATAGTAGGTGCTAAATAAATGTTTATTGACTGACTCATTAACTGTTGTTCCCCTTTCTGTAAGTTTACAGCTATAATCTCCATTTAGTGATTCAGTCTCAATAATGGTCTGAGAGATTTATGCTAAAAATCCTTTAATAACACCTTAAGTAGTAAATAATTGCTCAGTGACATTAGCAATGTATTTTTTCCTCTGTGACAACAAGCTGTATGTGTTTGAAGCATTAGATTTGTTTCTACAGCGACTCAAAACCATCATGAGCATTTTTAAGCAAAAGTTATCACTAATTGCTGCAAGCACTTAATGGGTTAATCTAAGAGAATATTATAAGTAGTATATAAAATTATCCAGAAGGTTCACAAGACGTATTTTGTTGTTGTTAAAAAGGATTTGGAGAACAAAAAAAAATTGAAATAACTGCCTTACACAAAGACATAGGTCCTTTGTCTCTTTAGCATTGATTAGCCCAAGAGTATAATTTATAATTCTGTCCACCAGGTGGTACACCAAGTCAGTCAAGTCAATTATAGATGCCAGCCCTGTGTTTTCTCTTTCTTTCTTTCTTTCTTTCTTTCTTTCTTTCTTTCTTTCTTTCTTTCTTTCTTTCTTTCTTTCTTTCTTTCTTTCTTTCTTTCTTTCTTTCTTTCTTTCTTTCTTTCTTTCTTTCTTTCTTTCTTTCTTTCTTTCTTTCTTCCTTCCTTCCTTTCTTTCTTTTTTTCAGCCAAAGACAAAGTTTATTATAACATTGATCGGGGGGTGGGGTGGGTGAGATTTAAAGAATCTGCCATATTGGCCAGATTCTTGAGGAATCTAAGCATTTACATTGCGAATGCAAGTGGGCTAGATCTTAAGAATCTGAGCCAAACCTGTGTTTTCTTTTGATTTTATGTGTCAACAATTCTTTCTATGTAAATGACTAACCTTTATCATCCTACAGGCTTCAAACAGCCCAGCAGGAATGAAACACCCATAAACTTATATGCTTTTGGTGGAACTGTGAACTGATCCAACCATTCTGGGAAGCAATTTAGAATTATGAAAGGAAATGTGAAAATAGAGTAACTCAGAGTAACTCCCTACCCTTTGGTCCAGAGATCCCACTGCTAGATGTATACTCTAAATAATTCAATGATAAGAATACATGCATCAAAATATTTCAGAAGCAATTTCTGTGATAGCAAAAAATTGGAAACAAAGTGGATGTCTATCAATTTGGGAATGACTAAACAAATGGACATAATGAATATTATTGTGCTGTAAGAAATAATAAGTATGATGATTACAGAGGAATATGGGAAGACATATGAACTGATGGAAAATGAAGAAACAGAAACAGAAGAAACAGAAAAAACAATATGCATGTAAGGGCAGAGGTCTCCTCCGATCCCAGTTAATTATAAAAGGGCTAGACATCTGAATTAAATCAATGAATCATTAAAAAATAGGTGTGAGTAAGTTTTTAATCAGTTGAAAGTATCATAGGGAAGTTGGGTCATTGGATAGTGCCACATAGGAAATGTATTTTAATTGGTTGAAAAAGATCAAGTCATTCCTCTTGGGCTACATATTAAGAAGCAAGCTAGTTTACAGCAAGTCAGTCAAGTAGAAGACTCCAAATTTGGGAGCTGACAATTCCAGGTCCTTGACCATGTGGCTGAAGATGCTGGACAAATAGAAGACAATACATACAGTTGAAAGTAGGGGGAGATTTAACCAGGACAAACAGAAGGTCTCTTTTGAGAAAAGTAGCTGAGTATTCAGAAAAAGAAAGGGTTAGGTTATGACCTTGTAAGCTTTGAAAGTTGGAAGAACTGGAAATCCCATTGGCATTGATAATGGAGTCCAATGGGACCAGAATCAGGCTATGACTATGTCTGCTTTGGGTTCTGAGAAACACAGGATAGACTAGATATACTGAGGAAAAATAGCTTAGAAATCTACATGGAGACTAGCCCTTAGAGTGTTGTAGACAACTACACTTACTGGGAATTTCATGAGGACCCCACAAAGAGAGAAAAGGACTTTCAGCAACCAGAAGCTGTTACCCCTTTGTTATACAGCATTCTTGGAGCTGCTTCCTCAATACCTGTGTGTGTGTGTGTGTGTATGTACACACACACTGTTGTATATGCTATATCTGTGTATATACACACACACTCACACACATACACACACATATACACTGTGTGCCTCACTATGTTTACTATAAATTTGAGGCCACTCTTCCCAGAGATCTTGTGTGTGCAAGGGGAGATTGTGTCCACACTTTGGAAGGAGGGAACTGTTTCTGTAACAGCTGTCCTTGCTATTCCCTCTTAATAAACACTTTCTGTAAGCTATTTAAGCCTGGCTGATGATTTGTGGGAAACACATTGGTGGAGGCTTGTGGACAGTAGTACTAGAAACCTCAACAACTGTCAGGGTCACCCCTAGAATTCTGAGAGAGAGCAGGAGTTATTGCATCTCTGGGGATCCCAAACTGCCAGTGGGAGTTCCAGTTGGGAGAGGGATCCCAGAAGGTGGCATATAATATAAGCATAACAATATAAATAGGGGCAAAAACCTCAACAACTACCCAACAATAACACAACATTTGAAACTAAATGCTGTGAAATTACAATGACCAAGCTCGGTCCCAAAGAAGAGACATAAGAATGTACCTCCTTTCCTTCTTTGTCGAATGACTGTTGGTATAGAACATCATATATAATGTCTGATCTGGCTGGTTTCTTGTCTTTTTTTTTTTTTTAGCTGTTCCACCTTCCCCCAAGCCGCCCTACCCCACATTTAATTTTATTTTTTAAATAAGGAATGGCTCTCTGGGATGGGGTGGGACAAGAGGAAGATAGTGAGAAATGTGGTGATATAAAAACAATTAAATCAATTAAATTACATATATTTATAAGTAAATAAATTTATAAACCATTAAAAAAATTAAAGGCCATGTAAAGGGTATAAGGAAATCAATATTGGGATCCAGGCCTCAGCTCTGGGTCCTGTTCCAGGATGGTGAGAATAAGGGAGAAAAGGGAGTGGGCTGGGGTGGGGGAGAGTGCCTCGAGGTCCCCTTACCTCAGCCAGGTGTTGTTCTGCCTCTCTGCTCAGTTGGGACTTGGCTCTTTGGTATCAAATTGCTTGCTCTAATTCCAGCCTCATCTAGCTCTTCTGTCATCTTTCCTACTCTCTGACTCTAGGAATGTGCATCCCAGCAGCTGACTGGGACACTGGGAGCTCCTAGCCTGATTGCTGCATCTTTTCCTGTCCTTGGGTCCTAACAGCTGCTAGAAAGTCTTTCTTGGGCTGTGGCTGTCATGACTGCCAAGGTATAGAGAGCAGTTTCCATTCCTAGTTATTTGCTGCCTGCTTACCTCTAAGTCAGCCTCAGAGCTTAACCCACTGGCAGCCAAATGTACCATCTCTCACATGTTAATGGAAAGAAAGGTCTGAATCTCAAAGGCAAACAGGTCAAAAGGGAGAGTTCCAGGCATGAGGGACAGCTAAAGAGAATGTCTGGAGGGGTGTAGCCAAGATGGCAGAGTAAAAGCAGTGACTTGCTTGAGCTCTCTTCCAAACCCCTCCAAATACCTGTAAAAATGGCTTTAAACAAATTCTAGAGCAGCAGAACCCACAAAAAGACAGAGTGAAACAAATTTCCAGCCCAAGACAGCCTGGATGGTTGATTGGAGAATGTCTGGAGGTGAGAGATGGAGTGTCTTGTTCATGGAACAGTCAGGAGGCCAGTGAATGTATTGAAGGGTACGTGTCAGGGAGGAAGGTGTAAAAAGATTCAGTTTCTTCCTCTGTAAAATGGGGAGAAGGAAGAAAACAAGCATTTATTAGCGCCCACTGTATGTCAGTTCCTGGACTCTGCACTTTGCAAACACTATTCCATGTGATCCTCAAAACAAACCTGAGAGGTAGGTGTTATTATGGTGGTTGTTATTGTTATTATTATTATTATTATTATTTCCATTTGAAGAAACTAAGGCAGACAGAGTTTAAGTGAGTTGTCCTCATCCTCTCTTCTGCCTCTTTCAATCTGATGCATTCCTTAAGGTTCAAGTTAAGTCTCACCTCCTCCAAGAAGCCATCCCTCTTCACTCCATCCCATTCTGTCTCTTCTCACACTGATTGCATCCCCTCCTGCAGTTCTGAATTATATAGAGGAAATACAATTTGTAATCTGAGGGTATTGAGTTATATAGCACTTTAAGGTTTACAAAGCACTTTACAAATATTGTCTCATTTGATCTTCACAATGACCATTGGAGGTGGGCACCATTGTACTTATTTTACAGATGAGGAGCCTGAGGCAGTAAAGTGACTTGTCCAGGTTCACACAGCTAATAGATATCTGAGGTTGAATTTGAATTCAAGTCTTCCTGATTCCAGGCCTAGATCTTTAGACCAGTTGCACCACCTGGTTGCTTCTAAGGGGAAGAGATGCTCTTTGAAGATCTCTTTTAGCTATAGAAGTATGATCCTCTGATCCAGTGGACTTGTCTAGCAGCCCCCATCAGGGCCAAGAACTCCAACTTGGTTTGGATAGCAAGCATCCCTGTTATAAATCCTGTCTTGGTAAGTGCGATGGGCTTCTGGTAGATGTTCCTCCCTGTCTGGTGACCTCAGTCAAAGTGAGAACTTGGAAAGACCTTAGCTTAAAAAGGTCAAGGTCTCTCACTGCATCCTGGGCCATCTCCAGTTGTCCTGATCTATATTTGGCCACTGGACCCAGATGGTCGGGAGGAGAAAGTGAGGCTGGTGACCTTGCACAGCCCCCTCCCTCACTTAAATCCTATTTACTTGCAAGTCTTGGCATCACCTTCCTGATGTCATGGTCCTTTTCCACAGCAAAAGACAAATCAGGACCACAGCCTTTCCTGGTATATAATTGCCTCCTAGCTCTCCAGGCACTGATTTTAGCATATAAAAAGTGCTTAACTGGGTTGGCAAAAGTCAACAAGGGTGTGTGAAGGAAGTAGCTGGTTACATCCTTAAAGACCTGCTCATGTTTCTCACCCAAATTGTCCTCCGGATTCTGGAGGGTTCAAGCCAGATTGCTTACTCCTTCTGCTCCCCCCACCTCATCCTCTGCATTTGGGTCTTTTCAAATACCTACCCACAGATGAGGTCGTTGAAAGGCTCTGTGGCAACAGCACACATTTCTGATAGTAGCCCCCCAAACTTAGAACAGTCTTCAGTTCTCCATAACTGTACCTCTGAGTCAGAAGGAAGCTCAAATGCTTTCTAGTTCTACCTCCATGACCTTTTCACCCTCTGCACATTTGTTACTTTCTCTTTCACTCCATGAATAGCTTTCCTACCTCCCTCCCACTCCCTTTTCTAGTCACATATTTCTGGCATAATATCTTATAATCCATTTATGTCCTTGTTGGTAACATAGCATGATCCCTCCCTCCCACTCCCTTTTCTGGTCACGTATTTCTGGTATATCTTATAATCCATTTATGTCCTTGTTGGTAACATAGCATGATACCTCCCTCCCACTCCCTTTTCTGGTGTAATGTCTTATAATCCATTTATGTCCTTGTTGGTAAACATAGCATGATACCTCCCTCCCACTCCCTTTTCTGGTCACGTATTTCTGGTATAATGTCTTACAAATTGTGTATGTCCTCATTAGTAGAGATAGCATGATTAATGGACAGAGCTTTGGACTTGAGGTCAAGAGAAACTTAAGTTTTATTCCCACTTCTTCCACTGGCAAGTTTTCTAAATCAGTTTCCTTATCTTCATTCATTCATATATTTATTCATTTTCAATAGGCCTTTATTATGGTATATTTTATTCACACAAGAAAAGTATAAAGCTTATATGTTCAATAGGAAGGTATATGTAAAGCCTATACCAGATTGCACACCGTCTTGGGGAGGGAGGAAGAAAAGGAGGTAGAGAAAAATTTAAAACTCAAAGGTATATGGAAGTGATTGTTGAAAACTAAAAATAAATTAACAAAAAAGAAAAGAAAAGAAAAGTATAAGGCTTCCCTTGAGATGTCCAGGGGCTAGAGTCTGGGAGAGCTGAGTAAGGGAAAGAGGTTCAGGACAAAGGATATACAGCTATCCTTTCCACATGGTGATTTTTCCCATCGCAGTTTTGATATATCATGGGTTGGCATAAGAAATTATATGGGAATTTTTGAGGAGTTTTGTGGAAGCCACAGATGACACGTGAAGGCCAGTAGATGACATAAAAAAGATTAGAAACTCAGAAACGCATAAAATATATATATAGTATTGTCCAACATCAACATATTTTATCTTTTAATGCCATAATAATTCAGATTTCTCCTCTACTATGAAGGGAGAGCCAAAAAATTTTATGGGATGTTCCTGATAACAGGTATGGGGAGGTGGGGGTAGTGGTGGTGGTGGAGGAGCCCCGTGTCACATCACCAGAGTGATGTGAAAGGTATAAATTAGTGATATCTAGGAGTGTGCTGGTAAACATATAACAACTGATTCTCTGGGTTAAAAAAAAGCATGTATAGTACACTTTTAAATTTAATCTGAATTATTAACATTTTCCCCACGATTTTTTTAATCAAAAATAATTTACCAAGCCCTGATTTGTACCTTTACTAACTTCTGAGGTTTAAATACTCACACTAAAAACTTAACCAGATTAAAAGCCTGTACAAACTGACTCCAGCACACCCCTGGCCCCACATCAGCCACCAGGATGGAAAATACCACTAGGTCTCAGTCACTGGAGAGGTCAGTTATGAGCCTTGGGTGCAGTGTTATTCCATCTATGGTCAGAAGAGGGAGTCAAAATTGGGCCATGATAGAGTTCCCTAGGACTTGGCTGACTCAGGCTCTGCTGAGCTCCCTATTTCATTTCCTTACTGAAAGCCTGGGGAAACTTGGGTCCTTTATTTCCTTCACCTTACCCTCCTGGGGGCCTACCCTTTTTTAAAGTCCTAGCTTCCTCCTCAAATCATTAGCTAAGCCTCCAATTTCCGTCTCTGAGCTCATAATGAGGGAACGTTTTCTAATGCAAATAACCAATGGAGATTGCAAAAGACTTTGTGTGTATTTGCCCAGTGTTTAGCTAGGTCAACAGTGGATAAAAGGGGAAGAATGCAGAAACTTTCTTTTTTGGTCAGTTGCTACCGAACTCTGTCCACAGAAAGCACAAATTGCCTCCGGAATTTCCCAACACTTAAAGCACTGTACAAATAACAGCTATTATTATGTTAACATGCTGCAACCTGCTTCTACTCCTCTGTCCTCAGAGTCACCAGCAATACTGATTTTTTGCAGCTACATGGCGTCCTCGGGAAGATAATGGTGTTAAAATACAACTTTCTGTTTGTTTGTTTCAGGG